TTTCCCCGACTTTTTCCCAAGAGGGCCAGCCACACAGGCCATCAGATAAAGGAATCCAAGTAATACAGCTAAACAATGCAACCCAGGAGTTCCCACTATTCTTTAGTAGATTTATAGTTCAATCCTTTGCAGGGTTATTCCAGTTAGAATCCATTGATTTCAATGGACTTAAGATAACTATGCCGAAGATTTAGGGATACCAGGAGCAGGAGGCCTCCTGGCATCCCATCTTGTTGCCTGCTAGCGCCTCAGGCACCTGTGAGAGGAAATTTGGAGGGAGGAATGCATGCTGGGGTTGGACAGCATGCTTATGTCATTCCCGGTTAAAACTGGAAGTAACATGGCAGATGTTCTAGCATTTGCAAAAACTATGGCTCCCCCCCTCCCCCAATTTTCTTCTGGGAGTTTCTAGCTGTGGTCCTAATAGGACTGCAGTATTAAAATAAATGTTTGATAAAATATAGTTCTGTGGGAGAAATTGTTTGTGGTCAAGCTGAGCAAGTGCGACCAAAAAGAGAGAGAGAGAGAGAGAAACACAACTTGATATGAGAAAGGTGACCAAAAAGTTTGAGACAAAAATAAACTAAAATATAGCTACACATGTAATGCTAATGTACAAAATATCATACATAATTTAATTATATATTCAAAAGTGCTAAAATATCATTTAAAAACCACAGTCTATGGTTCTGCATATGAGTAACTAATCCTAATATAAAGACAAATGTCCAGTCATATAAATACGGGTTAAAATGTACAAATCATAATCATACAAGAAAGGGGACCCGCAATACTTGTGTGTGGTGGGGGAAAAGCTCCACGCAGAGCAGGAGGAGGAAGCAGCAGCACGTAAGCCTTCCCCCCCCATCCCCGGACACTGGCGGTGTGGCCTGAGCGGCTGCCAGCTACCAAGCCTGCCGATACCCCCCCCAAGTGGCTTCCAGCCGCTGGGCCCACCTATCTCCTTCTTCCCCTTCCCCCCCCAGCTCCAGTGGTCTCCTCCTCCGCTACTGCTGCTGATCTTCTCCTGCCCCTTGGCTCTGGCGGTTTCCTCCACCGCCGCCGATCTCCTCCTCCCTCCCCCTGCTCCTGCGACGAGGCCTGAGCAACTTCCAACCACCAGCCCACCACAGAGTTCCCAGAGCGTTCCCTGCGCATGCGCAGGGAAGGGTCTTTTACTTTTTTGGAAATTTAAGTATGCCCGCTATAGTTTTTCCATTTTTTAGATTTTTGTGCACACCTGGGGACTGCCCCAAGTGTGCAGGAAAATCTCCCTCCCCCCAGGTGCCCCCGATGTGCCTTCACTATTAGATATATAGATACAAGAACCATACCAAATGCATTGTGCTCCATTGGAGCTTTGAGCATTGCAGACTGGGCCTAAGTAGATCCAAGTTCATTTCACACAGTGTAGGTAGAACCGCTATCTGGTAGAACTGGCTGCATTGAAGTGTCATCAGTTAGAGTATTATCAACAGAGGAGGAAGGAGGCCTTCACCCTCGAGTGCTAATAGTACCAGCCACCAGAAAGTCTACTAATGTGTCTTTAAGATTACTAAACACATTTCTTTCCCCTGTCTGCTGAGTATGGGACAAAAATGACTGTATTTTGAATTTCTAGATATTTATTCAAGACTCATTTATCATTAGAAATAAAAAAGGTGAAATCCATACCGAAAAATGATTAGTGGCTCAAAATGTGTGCTTTGTTGACGTGGAAGAATGGCACCAAGAAGGATTAGAGAGGACGAGCAGAAGGACAGAACTAAGATGGAATGCTTGGACAAAGCAAAATATGTTAAATTTCCAAGAATGAAATAAAGAACTGAAATTAAAACCATGGAGGAAATTAGTTACAGTTCACTGTGGAGCCAGCATTTCTGAAAAACATGCTTAAAATTTGGGATTGCTCCAAATTAGCAACTGACATCTCCCCAATGCAGGTCTTTTTAGGCGACAAAACTTCCCACGTGATATAATATAAAAATCATATGAATCATGGAAAGTACACAAGTTAAACAGAATTCGTAATATAGCTAAACATAGAGCTTTACTAACATGGCAAGCCCTGCAAGAAAAGCTCCAGACTTCAGGATTCCATAGTATTTTTAAATTCAGCATCTCTTCAACAGCACAAATTTTAAGAAACAAATCATTAGGGAATTAACTGATTTCAAAAGATAGATACTCACCTACCCCCCATATTTTACAAAAATGATCTCTACCCTCTAAAAGTACCTAAGTTCCTACTGATGACAGAACCTGCCTTCCTATGCATATAACTGGGAACAAGATAACCACAGAACCTAAAATATGGTCCTACCTTTGTCCAAAGTCACCATTTACTTCTACACGTAACATAACAGCAATGTTTTATAAACTTATGTCTAGATGGTATCTTGCACTGCTGAGATTACATCATCACCAGCACTTTGCTGGGGAAGATGTGGAGAGAACTGTACTTACTATCATATCTGGTGGCAGTGTAGAAAACTAAAGGCCTTTTGGGCTGTGGTTAAATGTCACTTTGGGAAATTTACAGGATATTCCATTCCATTACAGACAAGGACAATAATTCTAGGATATATTAAAAATAACCAAATACCACCAACCAGGAAGGAGTTAATCTGTTGTTGATAGCAACCAAAGTACATATTGCACACAGATGAAACAAAATGTCTAACCATTATAGTTTGGTGCAACAAAATCTGTGATACTGTGGTAGCAAATAAAATATCTTCGTAAGTAAGAGGAATGGAAAATCCTAATTAACAATGCACATTTTACGACAAATAGTTTCCTGTCTTGTCATACTTCAATATTATAGCTGATAAATATAAGGAGAAACTAAATCTATTTAAGGAGAAACTCCCATCCACCCAGCGGTTCGAAAGCATCATAAATGCAAGTAGATAAGTGGGTACCTGCCCTAGGTGGCAGGGGGCACCCCTCCTCCTTGTGAGGTAAAGGGTTCGGCGGCAGCAACGATGGCGGTAGAGCAGTTCCTGGCGACCCGATGGAGCAACGTCGGAGGCGGAGCCCAGAGAAAGTGGAGCCTTGGAGAGCGTGGTGATGTGCGGCGCAGCGTGGCAGAGCCACCTGTGGACAGTAGCCGGAACTGCAGCCAACACAGAGCCACGCGCCAAGACGAGACCTGCCGGAAGAAGCTGTTCGGGGAAGATCGGCTCCAGAAAGGGCACCAGGACGCCAATATCTGAAGCTGCGGAAGGAAGCCGGATGACAACTAGCCCGGGGTGCTGGTAGGCAGTCACCACCCTGTAGACAATGTGGCCCTAGTCAGGTTAATTGATTGGTTAGAACCACTATGTAAACCGCCCAGAGACCCTTCAGGGTCAGGGCGGTATATAAGCCGAAGGTATAAATAAATAATAAATATCTTATATTTACAATTAAGAAATACTTCAGACAGCTCATTGATGTAATAATTTGTAGATATCGCTAGTTAACCTAGGACTCGGTATCCATACCAATATTTACAAGTTTTGTTTACTGTATACCTAGGTAATGTGTGGATTCATGTTTAATGTAATTTATCATTTGAATTAATTAATTAAAAACCCGTGGAGTTAATTGTCTTAATTTGCTAACTAGTGCATATTAATAAAGTAAAATTTTGTTCAAATTAAGAAATGTTATCAAAATTGATATTGCTTTATATTAACAACTGAAACATGCTTGATCTCGCAGCTTTTTTGATCATGGAAATTTTTCTTCCACAAAAGAAGAGTGTGTTCTCTGAAGAGTCATCTTTAACCAGTATCAAGGCACCTATTGGGTACCATTTGTTTTGTATCTGCTAATACTTTTAAAATTCATGTCAGTACAAGGAATAATGTGCATTGACTTTTCAAAGAAAACAACCTTATGAAATATTTTCGTACTTCAAACTAAAGTATGTAGGACAGCTTTAAAAAACATTTTGTTCGTGTACTGTTTGAACTTTTCTTTGTCAAAGGTCAGGTTGAGTTACAATAACAACTTACTTTAGCTTCTTGTGTTGTCGTAAAAGAGTGGCTGCTGTTGTGGGGAAAAGAAATAAGCCTTCTAGTTAGCAGCTGTTACAAAAACTCTCTGTGGGAATTTATTACTTCTCACTGCTTTATCACTCAGCTTTATAAATTCAACAAATGTTGATATCCTTAAATCTTGCTTTATTTGGTTCAGACTATGTATACCATATCGGTCATAAAATTAGTGTCTTCCTTAGTTGCCAAGTGCTTTTAATTACCAACATAATTTTATCATGTGCCTTGAGGGTTCAATTAAATGTAGCCAGTGATTCCATTTTCTCTTTTCCTCTTTCCCCCCTCTCTCTGTGTGGGTACTGTAAATCAACACGTGTGGGCCTTTTTCACTGTTTCTCAAGTTACTCCAGAGTCAGACAGTTCTCATTCTGAAAATCTAATTTATGTAATTCCCCTGTGTAAAATTGATGACAAAACCGCTTCGTTGATAACCTCAGGAAGAAACAGTACAAAGTTGAAGGGTTAGCACTGCTGAACTGATGGCTCAATAAGCCTTGAAAACAACCAACATGCACACAAATAGATTGCCTTTTCATCACTGATATTTTTAAAAATTGAAACAGCCCCTATTTGAAACTTTTGGTGAGAATGCAACATATTTCTCACTTATCAGAATAAGGTTTTATCTTTTATAGAATGGAGCAGTGGATTATGCAGCTGCCCTACCTAAAAAGCCATGGGAAATTGTTAGAGAAAGGCTTATGAGTAGTCTCAAGAGGGTCACCAGAGGGGAAACTTCATATGGAGGAAGAAAAAAGGAGTTTCTCAGCAAGGTTCAAAGACTTGCTCTTAGATATATTTGACATTAAATTGCATGACAGTGTACGTTAAAAATGCTTATTATGGCTATTTTATAGTAGATTAGGGTTGACTTGTGAAGTGCTATAATTTCTTAAAACTTGGTGTTGGTTTTATTTCTGTTGAAGCTAAATAAGTACCTGTTGTATTTTTCAGCAATGTGCATATTGTAAGCACCTTGGAGCCACTATCAAATGCTGTGAAGAGAAATGCACCCAGATCTACCATTACCCATGTGCTGCTGGAGCAGGCACTTTTCAGGATTTTAGTCACTTCTCCCTTCTTTGCCCAGACCACATTGATCAGGCTCCACAAAGATGTAAGTACCAGTAGTCAAATTGAGAAAACGAGGTTTCAGGGTCTTTCGTCCAAAGAACTGGCTACTTATTTCAAGTCATTTTGTGTGCTTGGACCTTTCTTAGCTTCTGTAGCTTCTACTCTCTCCAACCTTTTCTTTTTCCATCTCTAAAACGAGTCCCTCAAGTACTCTCTTGTGTTCAGTTAGTCTTATCTCTTTGCCAAATCCAGTCCTCACTTGACCCCTTGCTTCCCTTGGTTTGGTACCTTCTGAAGCTCCTAAATTTAATCCTACTTTGTCCCTCTCTCAGTTGCTAGCACCTTCTGCCTGCACTGATGGTCTTTAAGGTCTGATCATTTAAGGCAATGGCAGCCAGTGACTGTTCTGCTAACCACATCTCTGTCAATCACCTGTACAGCCTATTCCATCTCCATAAATCCCTTAGTGCATTACAGTTGAGTCATTGAGAATCCTGCTCATATTATAGTTGAGTTGCTGCCCATCCTTGTCTGCAGTCTATCAGAAATGAAGAAAGATCGGTGGGTAGCCGTGTTAGTCCATCTGTAGCAGTAGAAAAGAGTCTTACTCTGAAGAAAGTGGGGGGCAGGTGGGGAGGCTTCTGCAGTGTGAAAGGCATTAGCAAGGAGTACAGCCTTTGGAGGAAGAGAAGAGTGTATGGCTTGGACTACGGACCTAACATGTTGGTCTATATGCATATAAGATGTATGAACAAATAGCGTACAGCAGTAGAATCTCTCCTTATATATAATTGAGTAAGAACATTCTATATGAACATTCTAAATTTGGCCCCTTTAGTGTTAGGCCGGAAAAACTGCCACTCAGAAGACACTGGCTGGGTTGACTGGCTGCTTTGTGCAGTCCCGCCCAGCGTTCCAAGGTCTTTTGCATATGGAAGCTGATTGGACTTCACTGCATTCCACACCTCAAACTCACCCCCCTCCCCGCAAGGCAGTTGGAATGTCAGTTGCATATGGAACCTTCAGGGTCTTTTGCATATGGAAGCTGATTGGACTTCACTCCATTCCACACCTCATACTCCCCCCCCCCGCAAGGCAGTTGGAATGTCTGGTGGTGTGTAGGTCCCAGGATCATGTTTTAAAAGCTGCCTGGGGGATTATGGACCATTCACACACTTTCAACCTTAACATACCTCATAGGGGGAGAGGAGAATGATGACAGCTGCTTTCCCTAGGCAGAGGCTGGGGGGGGG